GCATGTGGTAGTTTGTGGTTTATTGCCCTCCATAGTTTTACAAGCTTAGAAGAAGACCAACTCCCCCTAAATTTTCGCGCAATCACAATATCGCTGTTTCAGTAAAATGTCTTCACTCTTTAGCTTACACAGCTATATACTATTTGTTTGTAGTTCATGTACAACTCTGTATATGATATCGTTTAATCCAAGGGCAAATCATTCACCTACTTTTGACATTTCAGTCAATAAAAATATGCAGTGTTTGCCTCTGTTCAACAACACAATGCATGCATGTGCACAACAAATAAATAATCTTTCTGCTTTTACAGTAAATAATAAAATATAATATAAGCAAACGTGTTACTTGATGCAGAGACCAGATATAAATGAGAATATGTAAAAAAATATAGACTATAAAAATGTCTGTACCAGCGTGGGTACGTAGTACCAATGTGAACTTGTTGTGTTGAGTGGTTATATTACTACCTGAAAAATAACAAGCAGAAACTCGACGTTTAATAATATAATAGTAATATAATATAACCAGCAATATAACCACTCAACACAACACTGAGTTCAAAAAATATAGAGACTATATCATGCACAGTATCGGAATTTCAAAGCATCGTATAATCTATGAAGTATAGGTAAAGTTGATTGACTTGATTCAGATATAAAACGCCTAATTACAAACAAATCAATCTGTCTGGAAAATAGTGTATACCTATGACATGGATGTGCGTATTATTTTAGTGCGGATATAGCTGTATGCGCAGTACGCATACTGCATGTCATTCAGTTGGTTACTTGATGCACAGCTGGCATCCTCTTGTCGCCAATTGAAATTAAACATGAAACGATTAAGAAGAAGAGTGCATGCATGTTTTTCTATTGATTATCAAAATTCGCTTAAAATAAAATTACATGAGCAAAGCGGAAAATACAATACATTTACAAGAAGTGGGCTAGAGGCCTACTATTAGTAGAAACATGCATGTGTGGCTTTTAATATTTGCTTCCTTGTATATATTTGTAATCACAAAATATTATACATTTAGTTCCATAGTTATAAGGTTTAGGCTGGCCCTTCCTTATATATTCACATAGGCATTCATTAAGCAGCCTAGCATTAATGACTAGCTATAGAGCAACAATATGACTGAAATAAATAATATGAAGTGTGATGTTGCCTTATTGGCATCTTTTCATGTTATGCAGTGTCGTGCAGCGTGATAGGAACTGCATTACACGTCATAAAAAGTGACATTAATAGTACAATTATAAATTCGTCACATTGAAATCATTAACTCTAAATAACCGTCATGGAAGGTGAACAAGTTACTGCGGAAAACATGGAACTCAAGAAACCTCTCTTGAAAACGAACAACGACCTGCTGTGTACTTCTTGTTGTCTGGTACTGATTGCCAAGCATGAAACTATGTTGCTTAGCTGTGAACTGCACACCAACCATGTTGGTACAAACATAAATGCAAATCTAGCTTTTTGAGACCCCGCGTTTACACGGGTCCGGACGAATTTGGAACTGCCCCAATTTTGCACGGTTCCGCGTATTAAAATGAAATGCATTTGAATAAACTCGTTGTGTCAAATATTTGATATTTCAAATCCCGTTTACACGGGACGGGACAAATTTGGAATCGGTCAAATGTTAGTCCTGTTCTACCTTCGGCCTCGTTACTCAGCCTCGTTGTCTCTGAACGAATAGTCAACTCGGCTTCGCCTCGTTGACTATTCGCTCATAGACAACTCGGCTTCGTTGTCTAATTGTTAATTAGTATGTGGAAGTCATAATATTAGAGTGAAGTAAATATTAGAGTCAAATAGATATTACAGTAAATTTATATATGGTCTTATTAAATGGTTTAATTTAAGTTTGGTTCTGCTCAAAGTGATGACAAATCAACTAAAATTAAAACAAAAAAATTATATGTCTCCAGTTCAGAAAGTCACATTATAGTGCGATCTCTTGGGAGTACCTATACTGTACATCAGGTTTTTGCCTTCGGCGTGTCTGTTCTATAATCGTTCTAGTAGACATGCCATGATACTGAATCGGTCACTTTTTATTCGTTTGTAATTTTTGTAAGATTTGCGTTTATTTGGGGCGTATAATCCTTTTAGGTCGCAAGCACATATCAAATGGCGTTATAGTGAGAGAAAATTCTTAATTTCACTGTGATAATTGTGGTCATGGTGTAAATCATATACATATCTCAAATAACGTCTATGTTTGGTAACTTCGGTTCAGTTGACTATATTAGCGCTAAGGATAAGCTTGAGAATTCGTGATTTCGCCGAATTAAATTTAATTTTTTACACTTAGCCTACATTCGTGCAGCAAGCACCATGACGTGCTAAATGTTTTCCTTATTCAATACTGATTTCATATGCATATTTCCATTGACTGATCGGTTTTGAGCGTCATTATCGTAAGCCATTTGCTTTACAAATTATAAACATGACTTCAATGAGAAACTTGCGTGCGTATGAAACTACAGGTTTTCAGCATAAAATCTACACACCAGGCTATTCCGGTGTTGTTCATTGCTTGCAAAATAAAACGTTTGCGAGTTCACTCAAACATTAATAAATTTTCACATGATATAATTTCACTAAACAACGAAAAGTCATCATTACAATGACATATAGGCTGTAGCTGACGAGAGCGTCAAGCGAATAAGTTATTGTGAGGAAGAAAAGCAATTACATTAAGATTAGTGTCAAGATAAGATGTGTTAACACAATTAGGCTAGAAGCGATAATAAGGTAAAAATGTATAAGTGTTTGCTGCCAAGAGGAAATTTTAAGTTAATAGGTTTTGCGGCGTAAAGATTCATTGAACTAAGCTGCGCTGCTGCGCGGCAGCTTCAAAACAAAGTAGCTATATGGATGTAATAAGCGAGAGGATGCAGACAACTTAATTGCACAAGCTCTTACTGTAGGTTTTTTGTTTCTAGGTAGATAGGGGGCTGAATAAAAAATATGAATAAAGCGTTTCATAAATCAGCGAGTACTGCATGTTGTTATTGACAGAAACTTTCTCGTATAATAAACACGCATAACAAAACTGTTAATAAGCTTAATTCGCTCTACTCGCTGATCTAACTATATTCAATATAAAATTACAACGTCGCGTCCTCATAACTTTCATCTATTACGAACATAATTATCATATAACATCAATATCGGCATGGGTTAGCCTGCATGTGCGGGAATATATATATATATATATATATATATATATATATATATATATATATATATATATATATATATATATATATATAATACACTACACTCTACAGTTAAAATATTTAAGTTTCAGCAGCAACTGGATTCGGTGCAGGATATAAAAATTTATTACATTCACTAACTTAATTCCCCTAGTGTATCGCATATAAAAACAGGTACACTGACTATATAATGCTTCTCCACAACTCACAGCTGCTGAATTATTTTAATCCCTCAAACCGTTTAACGGCTATCCGTTAAACGCACACTTTCCTCTATCCGTTAAAACGGATTCCTTCATCCGTTTAAACTGGTGGCTTCATCCGTTAAAACGGATGCCACTATCCGTGAAAACGGCTTCTTCCATCCGTTTAAACGGTAACCTTTAACCGCGTGAAAACGGTTTCTCGAAAGCGTTAAAAAATATCATGGCACCGTTTTAACGTTTTCGAAGACCGTGAAAACGGTTTATACAAACCGTTCACTATCCGTTTCCAATCCGTTTTTTTGGCCGTTTTAACGGAAAAACGTTAACGTATGTTTTCCCAAAGAGGGTCATATTTTTGCATCTGCGAAGCAGATATATATGCTATCGCAAACGTGACCGTACCGTACCGTACCGTATCCCTAGCCATTCAGCGACGAGCTTATATAATTTAAGCCAATTTAAGCCAATTTAAGCCAATTTAAGCCAATTTAAGCCAATCAGCGATTCGTTTACATCAATTGTTTACATCGTGCCCGCATCTAACCTGCGAACGGGCATACTTTAGCCTCGTCAGGCCTCGTGTATAAATCGTGTTATTGTTTCAATAATATCTTGATATTTTTATCAATTTATCTTGAATTGGCTGTCTTTTTTTTATTCCGAAGTTATTTA